TGATTTTGGTGTAATTTGAATGTGATTATTGATATTGCTTGTAAATGAACTGAATATAAAAATAAATTTTCAACTAAAAGTGTGTCTCTAATGAATTTCTGAGTTTAATGAAGTGAATGAATAAAAAATGTTAATTAAATTTCATATGAAATATGATATAACGGACACTATATCTCCAATGCATTCACAAATTTCTCATCAATTAAACTAAGATTTGGGTCAAACATAGTGTACCTTATGTTACAGTATTCACTGAAAATGAGTTAATAGTTGTGAGAAAATTCACTTTTAGAGTACATGTGTGTAAGCCATGAGATTCTCATATAAATTATTATATCATAATAAATATTACATATTAATAAATTTATTTATATAAATGTATTTAATAATTATATTAAAGCTAAATGACTTTTGTTTAGTTGACTTAACTTTCCCTCGATTATTAAGTTTAATAAACTCATATTTCATAATAAAAAAGCCAAACCTCACATTACGGTTAACTCTGTGTGTAAAAAAGTATATTAAATATTTAGAAATTGACAAAATTCATACAATAATTATATGATTATTTTGTTTGCGTCTAATATTACATGGTTTATTATAATAATTAAGTCATTAAACTATTAAATCATAAAATGTAATAAGTTAGTGACGGAATATTTATTTTTATAGATTCTTTCAGTTTTGACATCAGTTTAAAGGTCTGACAAATAAGATAATAAAAATCTATAAAGTTTTTGAACATTCAATTAAAAAATCGACTTTTGAAATCCGATTATAATTTATTCTTTTATTATTAAAAATAGAGTCAACAGTAATGTATTTTAAGCTCTATTATAATAAAAGGAATATTTGAATACAAGATTATTTTATAAAATCTAAACAAGTACTGTATAGATTTAGGGTTTACTTAATACAAAGTATTTGTGTCGTGAAATTTTATCCAATGGTACCAAAAGACGATATAAATTTTATAAAATAAGATAAAATCATTTTGGATCACTTTATAAATATCTATGCTTTTAATTTTAGATTTCCAGTAGAAATACAAGTATAAATTACTATCGCTGCCTTATTAATGACAATTTTAATTTGTATTTAATATGTGAATGTAAACGAAAAACAACGTCTCTACCATAAATAATTTAATTTAATAATAAAATCATTGCAATTCTTTACAATGTATTCTTTGTACTATATACCAGTACATACAGTATATTATACTTGTACTATATTAAGCAAATAAGTTCTATGTTTAATTTTTATCATAACAGTATACAGTAAACAACTATTATAAGATACTTTTATTTGAAAAATAAGTTATCATATATTGTTTGTGTGGATAAAAGTCAAATTATGGCATTAATTCTTACATAGATATCAGTAAATAGAGATCAAACTGGAATCACTGCTCCTTTTAACAAATCATTATAATTACTCCAAACCCTGTTTCTTATATTCGTTAATAACTTATATGATCCAAATTTAACCGTATTATAATTAATCAAAATGCATGAAAATTAAATTTTGATTAAAAAGATATGAAATTAAAACATATTTTTTAGTTTGTATTTTTTATAACTGGAATAATATAGAAATCTCATAAAAGGATATTTTAAAAATAAGAATCTAAAACATATTATAATTTTTAAAAATGAGTTAAATTAGGTTATTATGAATTTGATAACAAGATATAGATTGTCATCTCAAATATCTCTTTGATGTAAATGCCTTCCAAACAGTTGTCTCTGAAATTATGAAAATTACGTAAATATTTAATACAAATGCAATTGAATGACGGATTTTAAAAAATAGTCGTCAATAAATATGTAACAAAACTATAAATAATTTGAACGAACAATTGAATGGTGAGAAGACACACCTATTTTTGATATTATATTATATTTATTCAGAATTTAATGATTAAATAGGAAATACATCCGACGCTGACAAATGCTACATTTGCGTTGCATTCAGTGTGTTGTATGAAATTAACCCAATTGTGTGAACAATATATTACATTTGATGAAATTTTCATTTTATTCTTTCTCCATATATATTACAATTATTTAAAATTATTTATGAAAACCTAATTAATGGCAAGACTTCCCGCTAAAGAAGTGGTAATCAAGTGGTCAAATGAACAGTTACTCGATTGGCTTCAAAATGTATTTAAAATTTAGTAATTATTGAGATTTCAAGGGTTTGTAAATGAAATTTATGAAAATGTTTGAAATGTAGGAGGAATTACATGATTGCCTGCAAGCCTTCAAGTCTAGGGCTGTGACTGGCGCTAAGCTATTGGTGAGACAACTCTTATATATCTTGAAAATAAGTTTCAGGGATACATAACATAAATATTTTGCTAATTAATTTTCTTTTTGTTATTTTAAAGTAATCAAATGCATTAATATATACGAAATGCATAATTAATAGCGGTATTGGTCTGTGAGACAGTACCCAAAGCTATAGGCAAATCAAGTTTGCAATAGTTGTGTAGATTGAGTGCCTCAGGCCTACAACCAGTCATTCATTGATTGCTATTATTTGCTATTTCAGGATCTGAGCGATGATTTGGTCATTACTTTTTGTGAACTCAAAATTGTCAGACGAAGGTATGACTACCAGTGCTTCCAATCACTGAACAACACCATTCCTGTCTTGTATTCAATGCTATATAACTGCTATAAATTGATTGAATGTCTGACCAAAACACAGATTGCATTGATTACTAGTTTACGATTCAATGCAGATTCGCATCAATGAGTTCACAAAATGTGAGCCCACTTTCGATATGGTTTTGCTCAGACATCCAATCGATTCATCAAATATATTGAACCTAAAGCCCAATCAAAGCCATTAAGACATTACTCATACAAATTAGATTTCACTACAAATTACTCTACTCTTCCTACTATTCAATGAATGTTGAGTCCACTAACTCTTGTGTCCATAATTCAAGTAATAGTGTATGTGTTCAATGTAATGACCGCTAAATAATTGAATTTCATTTCATTTGCACGTATTTATTATTATATGATATAATTTATATCATTTAATGAAGTATTTCTTTAAACTAGAAAAAGCTCTTAAAATGTTTAAAGTTGTCAAACGAGAACTTTATATTGAATTTTGTTATTATGCTTGAAATCTAAATTATTTTACACTCAAGTGTTTTGAATATGAATACAAAGATTTGTTTTCCGAATAAGTATTTCTCATTTCTATTGATAATTCAATTATTTTAAGAATTCAGGAAATATTAAAAGTTATGTCGAAATAAAATTGCGATTAATTTCTTTGATTAGATTATTTAAATTCATTATATTATCGGAATTAGTTATGCATTAGTTTTAATGACATTTAATGTATTACCGGTTATACTGTAAATATATTACTGTAAATGTACTGCAATATATTACTGTTATATGGAATACAATACAAAATAAGTATTTATATTAATATAGCACTTGTATTTCATTTATGATATTACACTTGAAAATAATACCAACTGATACGGCATATAAATTATATCATAACATACAATCTTGAACTACACTACATACATGTTTTGGGACACAAATTACACTGTTTTGTGACTTAATGGAATGGTAATTATTCATTAACAGTAATGTTTTTGTGTCTAAACATTAAGTATTTTTCTGACACAATAATTATTAAGTAATTATAAATTAAGACAACATTACTGTGCGTTAATTTGTGTGCTTTATTATGATCTGGAATGTATGCATATTTATATTACTCTCTCATGAGTTATAAATAAGTTACAACTCATATATACATTAATTTATACAAAAAGTAAATGAAAAATAATTTGTAACAAAACAGTTAATTTAGTCGAGAAAGACAATAGTGCGGCAAAAGTGGAGCACTAGAGCCACAACAGGCCGTCCGAAAAAAGTGCCGATCATTGCATTGGTTTGCATTGAATGCACTTTTGTTGCAAATGTTGCAAAAGTCTGATTCTGAAAATTGATATCATATATAGTTTGAAATATATATATATTATATAACATAAAGTTTATAAAAGAGATCGAACTCTGCTTTAATACAATGAACAGTGTTTTGGTTGGCATTCAGGTTACAGTTGAATGAATTGATTATAATATACTATACGATAGGTGTATGAAAAAACACCACAAATGGTCTTATAATGTGAAATGAGTACATCTTATAAAAAGTTTGGAAACTCACGATTCCAATGCTTACACACTATGGCAAACATCATTGCAATGCAAACCACTTTTTCTTAGCCACTGACTTGCGAGGGGAAGGGGAGGCACAGCATCTGAACAGTGAAACATACAAACAGGTCATACCATTCATATGCTTTCCCCTACAGTGCAACGTAAGCTGTAGTGCCTTTTGCTAACATTCCTTCACTTTATTTTCACGTCTAGTTTGTTAAGCACTCAATCGCTTACAATATTGTAATTTTGTGTGTATTTCTTATAACTTATAGTTTTTGTTTAACTTTTACTACTTCACCAAAAACCAAATGGTTGTGCTCTGTGTCTGTCAGTGCTGTTGTACTCTTGTTTCGGACTCCAGTTCCTTACAGTTCTCTAGACTAAACAGTTTCACCAAATTCCAAGTCATATACTCTTATATTACACTATTTTGTTGACTGTTTAGAGATTAGGCACGAACTCCAAGAAAGCCGTTGTTTCACCAAAAATGAGATATTATTTCCTCAAACACTCATTCAGTCATCAAATCTTGTTTTTTGTCTTCAATTTATAAACACTTTTATTTTGTATTACAACTACACTGAAGGTGTATATTAATAATCAAATAGTTGTGTTTTAAGTATAAAGTTATCACAAATAGTTATCTCATCCACTGTTATGCCATGAATGCCATCAAATTGTTTCTCCAGATGTATGTCTTATAATGAATTCACGTTTAGTTCACTTCAGTTATACTTTCAATTCAAATGCCATTATTGTTCACTAAATACTTAATTCACTATTTGTTTTAAAATTTAAATGTTAAGTTTATATCCATTGCTTCATTAAGTTACGACAATATGTTAGTAATGAATGCTTTTTGTCATTACTATTGAACTGAAAGTTAATTAAATTAATTAACAAAATGTATTGTATTGTGAAGTTATCTACAATTATGAGCGCATACGTGAATCAAATGATTGAATGCTAATACAATTAAATACAATACAATAGCGTATAATAGATAGTGTATTGAGTTTAATATACAGTTAACTAATGCTTATGTGAAGTGATTGTGACGTAAACTTGTATTGTATTGAAATTGAATGATAAGTTGATACCAGTGTTGACCAACACTTGGATTCATTGAGAGATGGATACGAAAAGACTTTCTCTGAACCATCATTTGCATGAACACATGGACACCATCCGCAGCTCTGCCTCATTCAAAATCTTCAGAAGGTATACCTCTAACACACCCTTCCATACCGTACCCCCTCTTATCTTTCATATCATTTATTATTATTTTAATTATGATTACAACACAATTCAATGCATCACTTATTGTCACTCTTGTTATCACTTCTCTATTACTCATAATAGCACTTAATTTCGTGTTAATAATACAATCATTAAAATATTTTTAGACTTATAATTTTATTTATGACTATAATATGCTTTATATACAAATTTTTATAAGTACAGTACAATAATAATAATATTTAATCTTTAACTTCAATGATTTACTGCATATTTTTCATATACAGTAATTTGACAAATGGAAAAATAAGCAAAAATTTTAATTATATTTCTTTGATATAAAAATAATGAAATTCTCTGAATGCCATCAATTTAGTTTTAATTTAATTATTTGTCACAAACAATAGTTTTGAAATTTTTGCAAATATTGATGCTTTTAATGATGGAAATGATCTTTAAATGAATGTATTGTGTGGGCGAACACAACACAACAGGTTCTCAAGAGTTTGAATTCCTCTGCGTTTACCACCACTTCTGAGGTCTATGTCTGATATGAAAATAAGTTAATAAAAGTTACTCATAATCTGTTGAACCCATCCATTGTGGTCTCACTTCTCACTAAACTCATAAACTTAGTAATTAATTAATTTATAATAAAATACTGACAAATACTTCATTTGTTTGAGTATTGCTTTAAAAACGGGCACAAAATTCCTCAAATAAAGTAAACCCCGAAATATACATTTCTATTTCCCAATGTTGTGTACTGTATAACATAGCAAAGTGAATGGGATAGGGATGTAAATCTCATGAAATATTGTGAAAATTAGATTTCCGCTATAAATTCACTTTACAGTGCAGTTATTGCCATAATTAACAACTTCTCTGATGTGGTGTACAATACTTACAATTGTATCATAAACTATATTAACAGTTAACACCATATATTGTATTAATATAAGTTAATAAACCTTTTATAATGTTTTTTAGATTTAATTGTTAAGAATACATTAATTTAAGAGAACTATTATATAATCAAGTCATTGAACTTAGTTTTTAGAGATTATAACAAACATAGATTAATATAATAAATTCTGAGCATTGAATACAAGTTTTGTTTATATATCATATAATTTGATTGGACTTAAAGATATGTGTTTTACAGACAAATAGTCAAATGCATTAATGAGTGTAAGGCACAGGCGGGTCAGGCCAAGAAGTTTGTCGAAAATATCAAAGACAACTCGAAACAAAGAGGAACAGATCGCACCGGTATTTGTATTGAGTCATATGCCAGAGAGTGTCAGTTGTGGACTCATTTGATTTGTTGAACAGATGTAGAAGGAGACGATTTCGACGGTTGGGGCTCTGACTTTGATTCCGATGAAAACGATGATTCAGAGGATCTTAAGTCCAAAACAAGTCTTATTGGAAATAATTTGAAGCAAAACAGCGAAGACCTGCTCTACGAACCGGTTAGTGATTATATGAGCGACGGATCGTTCACTCGACTCGACGCTCAACTCACAGACACCGAGACAAACACTCTTCAAACCCAAACCGATAATCACGAACCCATTGGACATGTGGTCCACAATTCAAACACATTAACCAGTGATAATGTAGAGTCACATGATATTAACAGAGAGAACACACAGTTTAATGGCAATGGGGGTACTGAGGGTGGAAGTGCTTCACCTAAGCCGAGCCCAAGACTTATGCCAAAACCTCCGACCACTAAACCAGAAGTGCCTAAAAATAAGCCTCAAATGTAAGCCATTGTTCTTTGAGAAGAATTGTTTTAAATGTTAACACCAATTAACAGCAATTATATTTTATTTAAAGCATTCCTCGAAAGCCATTTACGAACAATAGTGTAAAAACAGCACCAAATCCTCAAATCAAAAGACCGCCGTCAGAGCCACCGCCGCCTCCTCTGCCAAAGTCCCCGCCGCCCGTCTCTCCGGTCGTCATTCCCTCGGATCTGAACTTAATTTTTAACGAAAGCTCCGGTTATTCGTTAAACTCTCAAAATATAAGCGAAGATACCTATGAATCCATTGTCTTACCGCTTACTGAAGATGAATATCTGTCGCCCATAAGTGTAGAAATCCCTGCCCTTAGAGAACAAAACAAGTCATTTGCGGCCAAAACACAGTTCTTATCGTCTCAATCGCTTAACCATTGTTTTGCCGACGATTACCAATCATTTCGTGAAATAAGTAAAAGTGTTGAACAGATCCATCAGTTGGACACTACTGAAGAGAATTACGAAATAGTGAACGATTGCCAAGAATTAAATGGCAATCAATTGTCTGCTAATCAAAGACCACTATTGCCTAAAGTGAAGGAACCGCCAGTTGTGCCCAAATCTAACCCCATTTCAGATGTCTTTTCAAATATTCCGAATTGGAGTCGAAGTTCAAAGGAGAAGAAGACTGGAAGACCCGAAAGTGACACCAATTTAGACGACCACTCATTGAGGTCTCAGTCACTCGAGTTTATTAATCACAACAATTCGTTGGGTAATTATCGCCTATTTATTGATTTACATTATTTATTCTTGATCATTTTACCATAATAAGAATTTGTAATTATAAAACTATAAGATAATTATCGGTAGTTAAAATAATTAAAGTTTAACTTACTTTAGATCTGAAAGTCATTTCCTTATTAACTAATTAAATTAAAAATTATTAAAATCGTACACTCAATAATTTGTTAATGCACAAATGAGCATGATAATATTCTGAGATTTCTAATATTTATTGTCATTAAGATGTGAATTCCTATTTCTTAAATTGTAACAGCAATTCGTAAATATATTGGTTTATATACTAATCAGTATTACAGATCATTATTACAATCTACAAATTACAAATTAAATGTTATTAATTTAGTAAATCATTATAACACCATGATAAAATATTAATGTTAGCATATTTATTTTGAGTCTAAAAGTGGCTTTTCTTTATTGAAGTCATGATCTTTATGTTTTGATAGATTGTAAGTAATTTAGTGATCATAGTCTGGTATTTGCACATTTCATGTGTTAATGTTTACACTTACAGTACAGTATATTATATGCTGTAATTGCTTGTTTAAATCTTATGTAAAGTCACATAAATGATGAAAACTACATAAATTTAAAGAATTTTAAAAACACAGATATAGATAAAACAGTAGTAACTCAGTACAGTAAACTATTTAATATACAGTACAGTATTAGCAGATGTTTAATTTAATAACAAATAATATGAGTTGTTGATGGATAACAAACTAATCAAATATGCAAATTCATTACAAGTACTCTACAGTTTTAATATGAAATATGAATGACTGACACATCATTATCTCTTACACTCTAAATACACACAGTGTTCAGATATAGCTAATTTATAAATTATTAAATCAATCAAGTTTATTTTATTTATACGTGAATTATTTCTTATATCATATTAATTAAATGACCCAATATTTGACTGTATTATAGAAAATACATTGAATAGTGTATGGTAATTAAAATTAAACTTACGATGATATCGTTAATATGAGAATTTTTATTTAAGTGTATGAATTCACATAATATAGGATTATTAATTTCACATGATAAATGTTGTACAAATCAATCATTTTTGGATACAATCTTTCAATTATTTAATAAATTTGAATTAAAAAGTTCAATTAATTTTGATGACATATTTTATAAAATAATATAAATTAACTATTGCACTAAATGCTTGTTAAAATATTTTATAATTAAAATTTTTTATTTTATTTTTACTCAACCTCTTTTGAGTTAATAATTAATGCATTTTTATACAATACATTTTAATAGAAAATGCATTGATTTGATTAATTTATTACTAAATCTGGAATTAATTCCATTATTAAAGTAAATATTATATGCATTTCTATGAATATATTTAATTTTAAAACAATTTTTATTATTTGTGGCATTGAATTCATAATATAGTACGGTATACAAGTATACTGTAAGCGCTTAAATAATGTTTTAATTAATTAGGTCGACATAAAAGTTTGAACAATATTTAGTGTTATATTTACAGTGTTTGTATGCGACAAATATTGTGTTAAATATCTTACTAACATTTGTATTTAATTCAATAGTAATACTGTTCCTTCATATGAAGATCTGTTAAATGTATAAATTATTTAAACTTTTTAAACTAATAATTTTTTTGTAAAATAAATATTAAATGAGATGGTTTAATTCTATATTATTAATAGGATTAGAATGATTATTTTTGAATTTTCTAACCTCTTATGTATATATTTAATGTGTAATTCTTGCCCTCTGGTCCTCATTGTCTTACAAAAATATGGGGCACTGAATGAGGTTTTATTCATATAATGTTAAAATAATCCTTATTTTCTTAAAAAAGCATTTCAAGCAAAATTAATTGAATGCTAGAGAAATATTAATACTTTAGACACGCATAACATATTGATTGAATTCAATTTAGAGCTCAAAAACTGTGAATCAATGGCTTAAGAGTTAGAAAATGTACGAAATAAATACAAATACACTCAAAATGATGTTTATATTATTTGTTATTATTGATGTGTAGTGTTATTAGAGTTGGGAATGTCTACAGATATATATTATATAAATTCCCAGATTATTATATAAGATCCTTAAGATTATGTATAGTTTTCAAACATTTCTTAAACAGACCGCAAGAATACTACTGTATATGTTATCTATTAATAATTTATTATTAACTCTATTACATTATTACTTTAATGTAATTTATATAAGAAATACATTTTGTCGTGAATTTAAGTTTTGTTCCCAAATAAAAAATGTTATTTAATTTAATATTTAGTTAATATTAATATACAATTCGTGATCTCTTTTATCTTGTTTTACACTCAACTATAAACTAGATTTAGTGTTTCATTAATTATATGAATTAAGGGTTTCATTAATTTTTATGATTTTCAATTTCATGAACTATCAGATTCTTATTTTTAAAAATTAATCAAACATATAATTATTTTGCTATATCTCTATAACCGAAAAGAAAACTTTCAAATAATTACAAAAACCTACAGTGAATATAAATTTAAGGTTTAAATATTGTTGTCATAGTATTTAGGATACGTGCAGAATTGAAATTTGCGATTTTATACTCAATTTTCGTATTCAATCAAAATCGAGAACTCTTTTCCTTATCAAAAGAAATGACTATTTGTTTGATTGAAAATCTTTCATTTCTCCAAACTCTTGATAAATGTATTTTCAAGGCTTGTCGTGTTATACGACATGCACTTCCATGTCCTCCCATTTGATTTGATAGATTTCTCGTAATAACATAAATGTCTTATTAAAGCAGTAAATAGTAATCACAGAAATGTGTTATGAGTTGCGATACTCTTACAAATTAAAGCTCTTTATTAGAGCCATAACATCAAAGTCGTAATGTCTAATGAAGTGTTGTTTTAATACATTAATTAACTGTTAAATACAGTAATGGAAATACAAGTCAATATTAATTGTAGGCTTGTTTTTGGCCACAACAGTGAACTTATAATTAATTTTTTGTTGCATATCATAAGAAACATTTGTATTTCAATTCAATGACTTGAGGGACAAATTAATAACAAAGAATAATAAATAGAAATTTTATTGTATTTAAGTTACAATTATTCTCTTTATTTAAATTCGTTTCAAATGTTTATTTTAGGTCTTATGTTATCTTTAAATGAATTCTTTATCATTTGAAACAATCGATAAAACGAAAGAATTATATTATATTATCATATGATATGTTTATAATAATATAAACTACGAGTACAACACTCAAGTCATTACTCATTCAATTGTCTTGAATTTGTTTGAATATTCATTTGAGAAACTCGTGCTCACATATTATGTATCTATTAATAATCTAACATTTCTTTTTCAATTCTTCTCATTATATGTTTCTTAAAACCAATTAATATTTGCTAAACATATGATGAAACTATTATAATTGTGTATTTAAGTGCATATTTTTTATATTAAACTTATGTCTAAAATATAGATTATATTGTGTAAGGATTTTAATAGAATTTGATTAAAACCCATAATATAACTTATTATATCTATATTCCATATTTTATTTAGTTATATAATTTATATTTCCCAATTGATCCCAATTGTTTTATTGCATAAAAATCCAAAAATCAATGAAAAAGGCTTGCCTAGATAATACCGGTATAACATGTGTATTTTGACACGATTAAAATAAATACTAATAAGAAATTTCAATTATTTGAATTACACTAATTCCATGGTATATGATTTTTCACCATTTATGCTCTAATATTAAATATTAAATGATGTGTTGTTTACAGCATTTATTTAATACAATATTTACTCAATTTATGTAATTCTGTTCTCAATGTCTTAAAATACTGGACGTCAGTCACAGAAATGGATTAGTCATACAAATAACAAAATTGTGTTTCACTACAAATACTTTCACTGTATTTGGATCATGAGTTCCAGTATATATATAGACTAAAGACAACTGTATTTTGTA